GGCTTTCATCAGAAAAAACACAGTTCTCCATTTTCGATAACGTCAATTTCGATGCTGAGTTGCCCATTGCAGTCGGTTTTGGCGATGATGAGCGGTGAGGACAGGACCACGGCATGGTCAGTGACAGCAGAAGTGTCTTTCACGCAAACATCGACACACTGTATCGGCACTTATGGGTCTCTTGTGTGTCCCAGTGGTCTGGCGAGCTGTTTCGGTGGCTCTGGTGAAGCGATCCTTCAGATGATTGTGCACAATCTGTCGGTCTTGACGTTGTGATGTTACTGCAGGTCATCCACTGCGTGGTGGGTCTGGGATGCTGTTAGTGGCCTGATACTGTTTCTGCTGTCGGTAGATTATCCTGACATGAACATTTAAAAGATTGGGTACCCTCCGTGTTAAGCTTGCAATCGTCCCAAGGCTTGGTTCCTCTCATCTCTCGTAAGTCGTGGTATGGCGATTGTGTCAACACAAGAATTATTTCAGGCGAGTTTGGGACTCGCTTTCATTGGTAGGGTTGTCACGATATGCACGTGCATTTTCGCGAATGTCATACGGAACCTTTTACCGCTTCTGTCTTTTTAGGTACGTTTGGTCCATATGCTTTTTCATCAGAAAACACACTGATGTTGGTAATAACTGTCAATTTGGATTGAAAAACATGTTAACAAAACGGTACAGTCATAGTGAAAACACCACCTGGTAAGAACAAAATTAAGCATTTGGTTTTGAAAATCGCGTTTCTTTTGCGGTTCAGTATACAATGAATATTTATCAACGAAAGTAATGTAGTACCAGTCTCATGATTGCAATGTAATTTTAGTTATCAATACACTCGTAAAATGAAGGTACTTTTGTATGTAAGTATATGTGCGTGTACGGATTTGACTGGGGTGTTATTTCAATTTGAAATCCGGATGTTTTCGGCGTCCAGCTCCAATATCCGTTATTCTGGGAATATTGTTCATCACGGATGTGTGGATTACATCAGTTATGTCGGAGGTTTTTCATTCGATGTTAACTCACCTGGCTTTTGTGGGTTCATTTAGTCAAAATATACAAGTGAGTTTGGCTTATTGCTGCTATGATCTGCATTAGACACACGTTGCATAAACGGGATCAAAGCCCGCGGTAAATCGGGTTTTAGACTTCTGAACATTTAAATGTTTGCCGAAATCCCCGTAGGGGCATTTTTAGAACCCTAAGTAAAAAGTTGAATCACAACACAAATATCCTAAGTAAATCCCACGTTTAAAACATCCCCTGTTTGGGAATTTAAAAACCCCGAATTAAAAATGGGTTTTTTATAAAACCCGAACTAACTTGGGGATTTATAAAACCAGTAGGGGAAATTAAAAACGCGAAGTAAACTAGGTTTTGGACGTATAAAACCTTGCTGAAACCCCTGTATGGCGATGCAAACGTTCAAAACATATACTTGTTCTTAATTTACTATTGTTTCCTAGAGTTGCTGAGTTTGGTGTTGGTACTTGTGATGTGTCCGATCACTTACCAATATGATTGGGGGCGGTGCGGTAGCCTAGTGGTTAAAGCGTTGGCTCGTCACGCCGAAGACCCGGGTTCGAATCCCCACATGGGTACAATGTGTGAAGCCCATTTCTGGTGTCCCCTGCCGTGATGTTGCTGGAATATTGCTAAAAGCGGCGTAAAACCAAACTCAGTCGGTCAGTCAGTCAGTCAGCCAACATGATTGGTGCACTACAGTCAACTGTACTATCAAATTCTCCAACTAGTAATTCTGCAGAAAGTACTTCAACAACAATATGGACTAAATATGTGTGGAATGGAGAGCTCTGTGATCTGTTTATCTCTAAGTTCCAAGAATTGTTTGGAAATATCCGTAGTTAATTTTATCACTGTATAGACACCAATATTGAAGATTCATTAAATGTTTTCACTGAACTGTATCAACGAGCTGCAGACTACGATAAGAAGATATTTTCAGGTTACCATAATATTAATTCCAAACCTCAACCCCCATAGTGGGACCAAGAACTTGAACAATTAAAAAATATGAAATATAAAGCATTAAGAGATCATAGAGACTCTAACCTGGATATTGTGATTTATAAAACCTTGCGTAATTCTTTCAAGAAGACTTTCAACAGCAAACGAAGAGCATACTTTGATGTACAAAAATATAACCTTACTGCAGCAAGAGACAACCCAAAGGAATTCTGGAAAATATTAAAGCAATCAGGTTCAACCTCAACATGTGACACTACGTACGATATAAGCTGTGAAGACTGGTTCAATCACTTCTCAGGGCTTCTAACTGAGAATTCTGATAATGTGTATGACAGTGATATCAATTCAGAGTCCATCAAGGATGAAGGGCTAAAAACATTAAATTGTGACATTACTGAAAACTAAGTCTTACTTCCCATTTATAAACTGGCAAACAATAAGTCTCCTGGACCAGATGGTATTGCAATTGACTTTATTAAAGCTTCTAAGACTTTTATCAGCAATTATTTAACAGTGTTGTTTAACAAGATTTTTCAAGGTGGTATTTTCCGTGTTTTGGGGTAATAGCATTATTTGTCCTTTTCACAAATCTGGTGTACAAAGTAACCCCAATAATTTTAGAGGTATCTCTCTTATTGATTATGTGTGTAAAATATTCACTTTCATTCTCAACAGTAGGTTACAGGTTTGGCGTGAGGAGAAGGATATTATTCATGAAGCTCAGGCAGGATTTAGGAGTAATTATTCTACTAATGACCACATTTTCGTACTTCAAGCTATGGTACAGAAATATTCATGTAAGAAGAAAGGAAGGTTCTATTGTCTGTTTATAGATTTCTCAAAGGCCTTTGATACAATTAATCATAAAATTCTCAAGTCTAAAAAAAGTTGATATAGGTGGTAAATTTGATAACATCCTTGTATCAATGCATGGTAGGTTGTCAGCTTGTGTCAGAACATCCCAAGGTCTTTCAAGCTATTTTGATTGTAGTATAGGTACTAGGCAGGGTTGCACCCTCAGTCCCCAATTGTTTATTATCTTTATTAATCAGCCCATGACAAGTATGGAGCAATTTGGTGCCGTGGTATATTTATTACACCTGATCTTAATAATCTATATATGCTCTAATGATTGCGGATGATGTTTCCTCAGTCTCGGATACTGCTTTCCAGCTTCAGAAGAAGATTCATGGTCTTGAGAAGTTTTGTCAACTTACTGGTATGAAGGTCAACATTGATAAGACTGAAGTTATTGTTTTCAGGAATAGTGGCCCCCTTTAGACAGTATGAAAAGTGGTTTCTTTAGGGTCAAAGACTGGGAGTTGTTTCATACTATAGGTATTTGGGTATTGTGTTCACTCCTAGGCTAGTTTAGACTAAAGCTCACACTACTCTTGCTTCTCAAGCCAATAAAGCCCTTATGGCTATCTGTAGATACCAAAATAGAGTAGGTTATCTGTCATGTGGGGTTCTTTTTAAAATATTTGATGCTATGGTTAAACCTATCCTTTGTTACGGGTCAGAAATTTGGGGTGTTACCCATTGTAAATTCATTGAACAAATCCAGATAAAGACATGTAAATATTTCTTAAAATTGGTGAAAATACATGCAACGATATGGTTCTTGGTGAATGTGGCAGATTCCCACTTCAACTTACTGATATGTCAAGGGCAGTTAAATATTGGTGTAGACTTTTAACTCTTCCAAGTTTTAGATTACCTCATCAGTTTTATTTAATGCTAAAAGTCTTTGGATGAATCTGGACGGACGACATGGGCATCTCATATCAAGAATATTTTATTTAGATTTGGGTTTGGCTTTGTTTAGATTTCACAGGACATTGGCGATATTGATGGTTTCATTTCTGTTTTTAAGCAAAGATTGTCTGATAACCTTTCACAAGATTGGCACTCATCCCTACAACATACAACCAAGTGTTCTATATATACTTTCAAGTCCATCCTGAATGTTGAAACTTTTCTCAGTGTACATATTACCCAATATTTAAGAAAAAAATTAACAAAATTTAGATGCGGTAAATTTAAACTTAGTTCTGGACGGACGACATGGGCATCTCATATCAAGAATATTTTATTTAGATTTGGGTTTGGCTTTGTTTAGATTTCACAGGACATTGGCGATATTGATGGTTTCATTTCTGTTTTTAAGCAAAGATTGTCTGATAACCTTTCACAAGATTGGCACTCATCCCTACAACATACAACCAAGTGTTCTATATATACTTTCAAGTCCATCCTGAATGTTGAAACTTTTCTCAGTGTACATATTACCCAATATTTAAGAAAAAACTTAACAAAATTAAGATGCGGTAAATTTAAACTTAGTTCTGAGACCGGTAGATATAAAAATGTCCCTTATGATTCAAGATTCTGTCCTTTTGACCACAAAATTGATATTTATTAAATTGAAGATGAAATACATGTTTTACTTTTTTGTAAAGCCTATCGAGATATAAGGAATAGGTTTCTGGATAAATGTTTGAAACATCCTATTTCACAACACAGCTTTTTAAACATAATGACTTCAACAAACATAAATTTTATAAATAATTTATGCCTATTTTTATATCATGTTGGGAAATAAGAGATTCTGATGTTTTTATGTAAAACGCATGTAACTTCTTATCATATCTATGAATGTATTTTGGGCCAGTGGCCTATTATTGAATAAAATGTATGTCTGTATGTATGTATGTCTGTATTTTTTCCTATGGTAGATGGTAGGTGCGTTACATTTTGCATGTGTGGATACATACCTAGACCAACATATAGTCTTTGAAATAAACACATGTTACGGAGAAAACGTTCCAACATATATTAATAAATATAACAAAAAGGAGCCCAAGGGCTTTCTTCATTTTTCAGCCCGCAACTGTGGTTATCTTGACTTCCAACAAATTATAGACTTGAATGGTTTGTATTTGGTATTTTTGTTTCAGGGTCTGTATGACAGCCTAATGCATCGTTTTCACATATACCTTTTTATGATTCAGAATATCGGCGGACCCAACCCACCAGAAGTTGTGATGGAGGGAGAAAATAAAGAAAGTGCCAAGAGAGTTGGAATCATCGGAACTGGCAATTTCGGAAGAGCTCTTGCAAAACGGTTGATCTTTTCTGGCTATGACGTCATCATCGGCAGTCGAAGCCCTGGGTACCGACAACTATCGGAATATGACGAGTGCTTGTGTGACCTTCGGCTCACAACCATCACGGAATGTGTGCGAATGTGCACCGTTGTCTTCATATCGGTTCACGTGGAGAACTTCAACGATACATTTTCGCCGCTGGGAGAGCTGTTTGCAGATAAAATTGTCATTGATGTATCGAACAGGGAAAACATCTCTGGCAAAATGTCCAACTCAGAATATTTGATGACCTTTCTACCAAAAGCCAAAATCGTCAAGGCCTTCAACATTATCTCCGCTTACGTCATGGAAAACGACATCGCCGGCGGAAGTAGAAAGGTTTTCGTCGCCGGAAATGACGTCACGGCTCGAGATGTAGTGTGCAATATTGCGCGTGATATGGGTTTTGCGCCTGTGGACTTTGGCGGTTTGGTGTCGGCACGCAGAATAGAGGCGTTTGTTCTACGATTGTTCCCAGGATGGAAGGTGCCAATATTCTTCACGTTTGCAATATTCATCTTGTGGTGTTTGTACATCACATACATCTGTTTCATAGCCAGGACGGCGTATAGATGGGATCAGATTTTTTTGAAAGTGTTGAACAAACCACTCTGCACGACAGCCATTACGTTAATGGCCTTGACCTATATGCCTGGATGTATTGCTGGATTTCTGCAGATGGTTTATGGAACAAAAAACAAACGTTTTCCAAAATGGATGGATTACTGGCTAAAATCAAGAAAACAGTTGGGTATCATTTGTTTCATTCTCGTTTTCGCGCATGTGCTGATATCCATTTTGTTAATAAGCCCGACGTACTACAGTTCATGGTTTCAATCCACCGCCATAACTATACCTGGCAACCTAACTACCGACCTTCACCTTCCTATGAAGACACTGATGATATGGAAAGGCGAGGCCGCGTGTCTCGTTGGCATCATTGCCTTCATCTTTCTTTGTCTCCTAGCAACCACTACTCTGCCTTCTGTCGGGGATTCGTTGAACTGGCGCGAGTGGCGTTTCGTCCAATCAACGCTCGGCTATACTGTACTGTTTCTTTCCATTTGTCACGTGATGATAATGGGAGTTCCTGGCTGGGTGAAGTACGGATTTCCTAAAACTTTTGGTTTCATTTCATTTCTGTGTCTTATACTACCAGTGACTGTGTTTATAATGAAACTGATTCTCCTGCTGCCTTGCGTGAACAAATATGTGTCCAAAGTACGAAAAGGATGGGAGCGAAACAACCACCCGTGCTTACCCCACTCCCGCGTTAAAACTCGGGGGGATACGGAATTAATGCGGATGCTGTGAGGGGTCAATGTCAACGAATTTACGTACACCAACGTGCGACTGTGTGGTGTGATAAAGAAGGACCTTCCTAATCCGGACCTGGTTAATCCAGCAACGCTTCCGTTTTTGTTCGTCTGTTGGACTGTAGCTGTGGTACATTAATATGCTGGCGACCTGTAAACATTTGAGTCTGTAAAGGATTATCCAGTGGGCGACACAATGAACACCGAGCTGCGCAATGGTGTGTGTGTGTTTCACTGGGAGTTGCTGTGCTTTCATTGCCAGCAGCTGGTGTAATTTCACCTGGACACCTTATCTCTCTCTGTGTGTGTGTGTGTGTGTGTGTGTGTGTGTGTGTGTGTGAGAGAGAGAGAGAGAGAGAGAGAGAGAGAGAGAGAGAGAGAGAGAGAGAGAGAGAGGGAGAGAGAGAGAGCTTTAAACATCAGCTTTTAGAACTATGCATGTTTTAAATTTGGTTTAAAGCATCAAGATTCCTTTGTTTTCACAACGACGTACAATATTCTTATCAGTTATCCATCTCCTCCACTTGTCTAATGGAGGGAGGCCTTAGACGATACACATCGTACGTACTTATCACAGTGGCAGAACCAACAAACCCATGGTCTTAGCATCTTAGAAATATCGGATTTTATGATATCGAATCTCGAACTTTAAGACCTAAGTGTGGTAAAATGCTTTTTCCGCAGAAATATCACAGAAATTGTCCATTATTGTTGTTTTCCATTATGCGTTTAGGGTACTATTACAGTGCATATATTTCTTCATATATTTTTATATTTTTCACAAATTATTCATAACAAAGAAAATTTGTATACGTGCAAGTTGCAGTGCATAGTGTGTCTTGTTTATAGCCCCGCATGTCAAGCACAGTAGTAGGCAATTAGCAAACGCATCCACGCCAACCTTAAACTAATTAATCAAAGATGAAGCTAGTGAGCTGTGTCGGCTCTGGCCTTTCTTCTCGGGTACATACCTTGGTCAAGCACAGATAAGTAGTCCCATCACAGCAGGAGCATGTCTACCACCAACTGTGTCGTAATCGAAAATCAACCTTTGTTGAACAAGATCGAGATTACCATCATGCCATCCTCTTTGTCCTGTCGTAAATGCCATGGTCAAGCGCTGACAGATATTTTGTTAAGCAGCTGGCACAAGCTGACCGTGGCTACACCATAAAGAAAATCAAACCTTGTTAGGTAATCATCTTCTTACCACCTACCTCGTGTAGTAAACCTTGTCAGCATAGGGTAGATAACGCATATGGAAACTTCAACTTTATAGAAACTTGATAATGACAAACGAGTAGAGCTGTGGGGTATAAAATCCTGGGTTCTTCCATCTCAGACACACTTGCTTGAATAAACCCTGGATCTCACAGCTCTGCCTCCTTTCTTATTTCAAGGTAAGAAACATTTAAACTTTATTATTGTTTATGTTTCACTTGTTATTTCTTTGTAGTTATCGTCTAGAAAATGTTAGAGTTAGGTTAGAAACATTCCTACAACATTGAAGCACTTTTTCATTGCAAATGCTAGTTCTAGATAACCGATTAATTATAAGGCACTATCCAGGGATATTTATTTATGCACATTGCGTCGTGGGCTCCTCAAGTTTATGTTTTTCATGTACAAACGAATATTTCTTTTCTATGTTTCGACACACATGTGTGTATTCCCAGTCTTTGTCTTGTTTTATTCATTTGCGTGTTGGATCTGTATATGCAGTTTAGATTCCCGTTCAGTAGCCTAGATTCTAGTAGCTTAGTCATAAAAACAGTTCCGAGAGTTTATACAATCATTTCCAGCAAAGACGAAGTTTTATGTATTTTACTATAGTTCGCCGATCAAATGATAGTCGTGTAGATTTACCTCAGATACGCGCGCACATGATAGGTATAACAGCCAACATTTGTGTTTTGATATTTCACCAATACTATAAGAATTCGAATAATGTTGTATTAAACGTTCCGTTCCGCGTGCAGTTGTACAAAAATCAGTAGAAAATGGTATTGTCTACTCTTCATATTACCAGAAAATATACATTCAAATCCGTGTAGTTTTTACAGTCTTTGTTCCGTATTTATTTAGCTCCGTAATTTAAGAAATACGCGTAGCCAATGACAACAGCGCCGTCCTAGTACATTATTACATATTCATTTAACTAAGTTACTGTCTTGTTTTGTAAAGCACAAAAATGTAGCACTACAGCATTACATATATTCTAGGTCATGGCTTAACTCCGTATAGGTCGAAATTGCACGTTGCCAATAGCAATACCACCGTCGAAATACACTTACCGTAGTCACCCAAATCATTCATGATAAAACAAGCTTAAGTAGTAGTACTCAGGCTAAAACTATATCGTCTGTCCCCGTAGTTACACATATTTATATCACTCTCTAGTTCCACTTACCGTATCTACCGAAATTATTGTATTGAGAAAATACATGTTAACATTACAGTTAAAATGCGTACAGTCAATACCGGAGTTAAATGGTATATGTCAAACGCGCCGTTTACCGTATTTTCTCGAGGCATGTATGTTGATAACGGAAATTACTTACACAAGTCATAAATCGTTGCCGTAGCTAATGCATTAAGCGTGACATTCCGTAATAATAGTAAATTCCTGCCGTAGTCAATACACTAAGCGCAGCATACCGTAATAGTCATAAATTCCTACCATAGTTAACGCAATAGGCACTACATACCGTAATTGTCATAAATCGGTACCGTAGTTAACGCATTAGGCGCGACATAACGTAATAGTCATAAATCCGCACAACAGTTAGTGAACTAGGCACTACATGCTGTAATTAAACTGTTGGGCGCTCCACTAAGTACTTGTTCTTTGCAATTGTTGTTGATGATTAATTTATCCGTCAGGTTATGTTATTTATCAGTACCGTAGTTACTCAAGAAAATGTTGTATTATTTGTATTATGTTTCTGTAAGCAGTTACCGTACATACCCTGTTGTACCACACTTTGCATATATTACCGGACTTAGATATAAACTGTATTAGGATATCATTGATTACTATTTCTATTATTGTGTGTCATTATTATGTATGAATCGATGTATTTTGAATGTCATGCAGACACTTGCTTGAATAAACCCTGGATCTCACAGCTCTGCCTCCTTTCTTGTTTCAAGGTTTCAAGGCTTGCTCCCTATAGCTAATTCCCCAAATCGAGGCCTGACACCACCTTTAGTACACCTAGCGCTAAAGGTCGTCCTTCAACGGACACAAAAACAAAAGCTGTCTTAGTACGAAAGCATTCACATGAAAATGCATTTTGTATGATCAAGACTGACTGACTGAGTTTAGTTTTACGCCGCTTTTAGCAATATTCCAGCAATATCACGGCGGGGGACACCAGAAATGGGCTTAACACATTGTGCCCAGTATGATCAAGAAAGCTAATGTATATCTACTGAATGTATATATATGTATCTGTATATAAGTAATGTATTGACCATTTCTATGATACAAATAAACTGTAGATTTCCCTCCTGTCACTGTTGATCATGTGTTTGGGCTGTTTCATTATGGGGAGTGTTTGGTTACCGCCGCTTTTCAGACGGCGGTGTCTGAAAGCTTGGGACTGGACAAGACAATCCAGTGATTGATGTCATGAGCATCGATGCATCAGTCAACCGACCCCGTTAGAGTGAGTGAGTTTAGTTTTACGCCGCTTTTAGAAATATCACGGCGGGGGACACCAGGGATGGGCTTCACACATTGTATCCTGTGGGGTATCGAACCCAGGTTTTCGGCGTGACGAGCGAAAGCTTTAACCACTAGGCTGCCCCACAGCCCCTCTACGTGGATAAACTGACAACAACTGTCTTGGGTGTCAGTGATGTACAGTTGTCCATTCGGATTTTGTTTGATCCTCACAAGGTCAAGTCTACAGTCATGTGAGTGGCACCCCCACACCAACAATGTACAACGCCAAACGGTTCTTGCTCCAAGATATTACGCTGTGCATTTGCAGTGTTTCTGCGGCGGCAAATACGAGCCCGGCCATCGGTCATGAACAAAATACCTTTTTGTTTGTGCATATAATATTCCATACGAATGACAAGTCTTTATGGATGATCAACTTCTTTATTGCGTTGACGGAAGGTTGCGGGTTCGATCCTCGACCCCGTCATACCAAAAGACGTTAAAATATGGTACTTGTTGGTCCCTGCCTGGCGCTCGGCATTAATGGGTACAACAAGGCCTGGTCGGCTCGGAGTCAGTATAATGTGTCTGAGTTGGGTATTCATGCTTCACTGCGGCATGGTATCTCAGTGGGCTAGCACTATAAAACCAGCTTAAGTCTGGGCTAGTACAAGCAGCCGCACATACACATACACACGCATGCACGTCGTCATATGAGCGAAATATTCTCAAGCACGACGTTAAAACCTCACACCTCACCTCACCTCACCTCACCTCACCTCGCCTCGCCTCGCCTCGCCTCACCTCACCTCACCTCACCTCACTTGTTGTGTTGATCATCCATAAATCTTGTAAGTCCTTTTGCTGTATTTCCTTTTATAACCGCCCCGGCGCTTATATTTCTAACGGACTTCCAGACCCGGTGCTTATTAGAGGCCCGGGGCTTATTGCGCTGAGTGAGTGAATGAGTTTAGTTTTACGCCGCACTCATCAATATTCCAGCTATATGGCGGCGGTCTGTAAATAATCGAGCCTGGACCAGACAATCCAGTGATCAACAGCATGAACATCGATTTTCACAATTGGGATACGATGACATGTGTCAACCAAGTCAGCGAGCCTGACCACCCGATCCCGTTAGTCGCCTCTTACGACAAGCATGAGTTACTAAAGGTCAGTTCTAACCCGGACCTTCACGGGCTGCATTTACTGGGAGATGTGGTAGACAGGAAGTTTTAACTAACGGGACCATTCCTTGATAAATATATTTTTGGGATAAAAGACGTACCCGGCGCTTGTTTCTTAAACTGCTGCTTTACTACCGGTGTTTATTAGATGAAATACGGTATTTACAACTTCTAGAAGGCCTCTCAAACAGTGTATAATAGTCCAGGGCAAAACTGCACTTACACTATCCGGCTTTTCCGCTGATTATTTATACTAAGCAGCAAAAGAAACGTCGCAGAAATGGATAACTGTAAACTCATTTAATGTTTTGATTGTATATTTTTGACAACATCTCCAACTTTACCTGAGCAAAGACATTCCTTCCCAAACTCAGAATGGAACCCAGAAAATGGTCTCAAAAACGCAACCTGATCTCGGAGATGGTACGGTGTTCTCCATGTTTTTCATGCAACTCATGCTGCACGCGCTGTTCACAAGGACCAGCCCTATAAAATGCACCCCCAAACATGGTTGAAACATTCACATTACAACGTCAGCAGGATGCCCCTTCTCACGACAGCTCAGAGGAACCAGGCGCTAGGAAGACTTGAAGCTGGC